AAATAAGTATTATGTGATGGTATTATGTATATGGGATATATTTAGAGGGGTAGTACGAAAAGTAACGGACGCGAATGAGACATCAACTCGGAGAGCATTAAAACTTTAAAAATTAAGAGGTTAAAAAACTTTTACAGTGGTAAGTAGGTAGTAGGTAGGGTTGTTAACCGGAGGATTTCGTGCAATTCCGGAAAAACAACATTCTTTCGTAAGGAGATTGAGAACACGGAATTACATTTTTTCGTACCGAATGTTACAAAACATTTAAAATCGCCGATGTTCATTTCGCAAAAGCCACTTCCGAAATTTAGCATTTCGCAAGTTGACATACGAAACAAAACTATTTTGCAACATACGAAAGTAGCGGTTTCGGAAGTCGCACTTGCGAAACAAACATTCGCCAAACGACGTTTTGAAGTCTATAAAGAAAATTTGTTTGCCAGACTGATTTTAATTGTAAAAATTAACATCTTTAAATCCCAAAATGTTTATAATGAATTTTTATTTTCAGTATAATAACATATTAAATTTTTATGGTTTTATTTTTAGAAATATTGATAAAAAATAAAATTTCTTTCGAAACGAAAGTATTTCGGATCACAACATACGAAAGAATTCTTAACGGAAATAAACTTACGAAACGTGCCATAATAAATATATACAACGATGTTTTTTGAACTCATTACGTATATTAAAAATAAGAATGATGGGTAGGAATATACATGTTTTTTTTTTTTTTAAAGCATATGAAATTTTTGAAACAGGTTCGAATATGCTTAAGTAAATAGTAAAAAGAGGTTCAAAAATATGCTTTAGCTTAAGCATATTTCTGATAAAATATATCTATTTCAATAATTTCTAAAAGTGTGCACGTTACTAAAGTTCTAGCAGATTTTAAAGGTATGTAGAGTCCTGTTTGAATACGCTTTTCGAAGTATAGATCTTAGAAAATATTGTTTTTTAATTTTAATAAGATATAAATATAAGTATAAGACTGTATAGCTCAATCAGTTAGATACGTGACAATTCGCCGCAGAGATCCGGGTTCGCATCCCGCAGTCATTGTAACTTTTGTTCATCAAACTCTTTTTACTTAAGATAGCATTTTTTGACCTCCATGTTCTATATTACAGATCTTTCGTCACCTTCACAATAGTGACAACCTCTCTTCTGTTAGTTATTCTTTTAAGATTGAGTTCATTGTGCTTAATTCAACACGTTTCTTCTTTACTAAGTTCTACTTAAATTATGATGAAATGTACGTAAAACAACTTTTTCAAATAATATAAATCATTTTGCTTTAAATCTTTTGCTTTTTGTACTAGACATCTGTCCTAAATACTTTGTAATAATTTCTAGCTAACTCTGAGTCTAATATAACCATTTCTGAATATAATTTCCCTGAGGCTCCAACAGCCTATTGTGTTCCATTAAAAGTAACTAGTTTTTGAGTCCAGATATTAATTATAAGCATCTAAAGGTTCACATTACTATTCATTTTCCTGATATATAGAATCCTATTTGCATACGTATCTCTTTCTGTAAATTCTGTTTTATATAGTTTCTTAATTATATATTAAATGAATATTACTATTCACTTAGTTGAATGAACGTATAGCTCATTCAGTTAAGACATTTGGCCGCGTAGACCCAGGTTCACATCCCGCTGTTTCACATATATTTCTTCTCTTTTTACTCTTTCTGATATCATTTACTTTTAGAGAGATCTCTCGTTTTTTATAATAAAGTATTTAATTGTTTATCACACATCCTCTTTATACTTTTTAAAAAGAAAGGCATACTGTTTATCTGTTCATTGAGAGTCCAACTTAACGGAATTTTACTGTATATATATGTATATATATATATATATATATATATATATATATATATATATATATATATATATATATATATATATATATATATATATATATATATATATATATATATATATATATATATATATATATATATATATAAATATATACATATATATACAGTAAAATCCCGTTAATGTATATATATATATATATATATATATATATATATATATTATATATATATATATATATATATATATATATATATATATATATATATATATATATATATATATATATATATATATATATATATATATATATATATTAGGTATATATATATATATTATATATATGTATAAACATTTGAAGAATCATTTGACAACATTTTTTTATAATTTTATTATTTATTATTTAAACTGTTAACAGTTAATATCTTAAATATATCGTAACATAAAATCTTTTGCGTCTTTTTCGTAACTACACGTTCCGGAATGCTTTTTCCGTAAGGAACTATTTCGTAAGTATTCTTACGAAATGATTTGTTTCGCAAATTTTCTTTCACAATGCTTTATTACGGAATTTTATTTACTATTTATATTTTCGTATAGCGCGTTACGGAATGAGCATTTTTGCATGTGCAACTTCCGCAATAACAATTCTATTACGGTAGATAAAGATGCGAAATTTTCGCATGTTTTGCTTTTCGGCGAACAACCCTATTTTATAATGTTTTAATGTTTTCAAAATTCTTCTCGACGGCTAGTTCAAAGACATGGCTCCTTATTCTTAAAATATACATAGATCTTCGATATGTTGGTGGGGTTTGTGGTGCCACAAAATTGATTGAATCAATTCCATTAATTATTTTTTATTGCTGTATAAGGTCTATACGCGTGCGACGCATTGAAATTTATTTTTTTATTAAGTTTTTGAAATTTAATTTTTATCATTTAGTTTTCATCAACATTTAATTTTCATCAACATTGGGATCAGACTATTCACACTCATGCTGAGCCTTGGGGATATTTTTGGGCAGGTTCTTTCGGATGTTTCCGGTGCCAATGTTGATGAGTTCAAATACCTTTATTTTTTCAGATAATGAATCTATTTCTTTATAATTTTTATTTCATTAAGTTAATTGGTTGATTAGTTTTTTAAAAGGTTTAAAGATTTCTCTAGGTTGTTTGGCCAAAAACGCGAAGGAACATTTTATGAAGAAATGTTCTGTTTTATTTGATACAATACTTTTCAAAATTGCTGTTGACATGAAACGCATGCTGAAAGTTTGAGAGTTTTTCTTGAGTAAACTTGCATTTGCATTTTTTTATACAAACCTATAGATATTTTATTTTATTGATGCAGTTTTCCAGACTCCAGACAGAGACGGGGGAAAAAAAAGGTTTATGCACCACGAAAATTGTTCACACAAAATATGTTTTGAGTGAAAACAATTTGTGTAAGTGTTTAAAAGTTGCTTTAAATAAATGAAGCATATTTATTCAAACCTGTTTATACTATAATTAACTAACCTATGTAAATGAATTAAAAAAAAATGGACATATATAATAATATTACTTCAATTTATTTATTTTTACATTGATGTTAAACTGTCAACAATCATTTCAAATAAAATCAAACATCTAAGTAAACAAACATTTTGTTAAAACAAATAAACAATAGCAATGATTTATTTAATTAACTATTAAAGACTTAAGAAATAAGTAATAAGAAATAAGTAATAAGAAATAAGTAAGAAATAAATAATAAAAAGAAATAACAATATCTTATAATTAATCGTTTAACAGTTATTTACAAAAAATCTTTTTAAAACAATCTCATATTTTATATAGAATAAGGAACAGGTAATTCAACATTACATCATCTTATTTTTCTGTACTTCTATTCTGCGATTTGAAACCTATAAAGTTTATCCTCTATTTATTTTATGAAGTTGGTTGCTTAGTTCAAGTACTTGTTGTTTTAAGATTTCTATAGAAACATTGCTGCTGTCTTTAAATCTCTCTTGACGCAATTTGTTAATAATTAAACCATAAAGCGGTGTATTCTGCGAGTGTATATACTCTAAGTACTCTTGCTCTCTTAAGGTAAGTGCTTTTAAAACTGATCCAGTTTTTTTGCTATGTTTTGCAAACGGCAAAATTATTAATAAATATGTTGTGGCGTGAAAAAAAAGCCCTAATGCTGACGAGATTATGCCAAAAACAACAAAAAACCATAACAAAATTAAAACATAATGATATAGCACGTGTGCTGAAAACTCGCATATAAACTTGTGTTTGTTGTTTTTTAAATTTGTTTTATCCATCCATTGCTCTTGGATATCACACAGGCCAAAGCTAGGAAGTAGTATTTCTCCCGCTCGGAATGTGCTTCTATATTTTGAATAATCGAGCATTGAGGATCCAGTTTTTTCCGTCCATCGAAACCAGTTACGTGCGTAGCTTAAGTAACCTCCGTTTAAGATGTAGTCAATCAAGAGAAGCGTTGCGACGTTTGAAAAAATATATGCAATTTTAATTGCAAAGTTGATAAATATTTTACAACGTACGCGTAACGTTGAGTTCAGACTTTTGTTGAAATAAGTGCAAAACACGTCATCGCTTGTTTGAGTTTTGATCGCATTTTTTAGAGATATCTACAAAATATAAAAAAAAACATGAAACTGCTAAACAAGAACGGTTATCTAAGAAAAAGAGGGGAAACTTGTTCTTCCATAACTTAAACAAGTTGTGTGACAAAATATGATTAGGTTTAAGGTTAATAATAACGGTTATTGTTAATAATTCAGATGAGTAAATGATTTAGATGAGTTATTTGAATACCACAAGGTTATGATTATTTTGTTCTATCTCCACATTTTAGAGTTTTGAGATAAAACGATTTAAAAATAAAAACTTTAGGAGACAGCGTATAAAGAGATTTTTATTACTGATGTTTTCTCCGAAACTTTTTTGATTATAATTTAGGTTTCAATATAGTAGAAAAAAAAATATTTTGATGTGCATAACACAATCAATAACTCAAATTTTCAAAAAGTGGAGATAGAAAAAAATAATTCTAACCTCGTAATATATGTTTGTAAAACAAAAAAAAGGCTGAAATTAATTACAATGAAATAAATCTTTTTAAATAATTAATTTAGTTGCAACAAAATATTAAATGATTTAATACTGCTTAAATTACATGCAACAAATTTTCACTTTTGTTTTGTTCCTGGGTTGAAAGTGTGTTTTCCTAACCCGTTAGGTCTGGAACAGAAAAGAAATTGCTGTTATTTCACAAAAACTTTGCTTTTGTGTCCAGGATAAGGAAATTTAGAAAATCGCGCGTTTTCAAGAAATTTCTTGATTTGCTTTCAATGCCGAGCTTCCTCATATAATACTCCTGAACTGCTAGAGTTGTCCAGATGTTTCTACAATTCTTCTAACACTCTAAAACGCTCGAGAAAATCCCAGAACTTTCGAAAAACTTGTAGAACTTTCTTGAATGTTTTAAAAGTATCTGTACAATTATTAAAGAACACGGTGACTTGGACCCAGATTCTAAATCGTGTTATTGCAAACTAAAAGGATAACGATTTGACTGATATCCGGGAAAACAGTGGAACCTGGTTGATGATAGCGTACAAGTCACGGATCAGAGGAAGCGGCATCAAAGATTCTTCAACTTTTTCAGTCAACGTGGGAACCGCTGATAGAAAATCATAAAGTGCTTATGCCAACGCTGCTCATCAAGTAAGGTCTCATTTAGCAATTTGTCACTGCTCTTTACAAGGAGTCAGCTGCATTTCAATACCTCCAAGATCTTTTTCCAAAGCTGTCCGAGGCTAAGGTCAGGGCTGGTATATTCGTTAGACCACCGATCAAGAAGATCATAGAATGTGAGGATTTCGCAAAACTGTTGAACAGGATGGAGAGAGCGGCTTGGAACGGTTTTGTTTTAGTTGTTCAGTTTCTGAACCTTGTAGAGTAGTTTCCAACTGTTTCCTGATCATAACGAGGAAAATAAAAAAAAATCATTCTATTTTTACAAAAAAACGAGTTTTCTTTGTGCTGTTGTCGTGTAAACAAAATTTTTGCTTATTGAAGTCATTTTTTCACATAATTTAAACATAAACAATTGAAATATAACACCTAGAAGCCATAAACAAAAATTGTGTGACAATTTGTGTTATTCTTCAATCAAACTAAATTAAGCTCAAATTATTGCAACTATTGTTAAAAATAAATTACACTAGGAATTACGTTATATGAAATATGTCAAACTGCATAAAGTATATAAACTAGTATAATAAATTAGTTTGTTTTTCAGAAACTAAATTTAATATTATTATTACTAAACTAAAATTTAAAACATAACTTACAAAAAAAGCCATTCATACATAAAAAACAAGTTAATTTTATGCTTTCTAAAACCTTTTAAATATTATAAAAAAAAGAGTCGTGTAATCAAGTTTTAAACATTGGAATATCTTTGATAAAGTATTTTCTTTAAAAAAAAAACAAAAAAAAAAACAATGTAAAAAAAAGTAAGAAAAATGAAGTAACAAAATAATTAAATGATAATAAAAAAAATAAATAATATTTGCATTAGGGTTGTTCGCCGAAAAACAAAACTTGCGAAAATTTCGCATCTTTATCTACCGTAATAGAATTGTTATTACGGAAGTTGCACATGCGAAAATGCACATTCCGTAACGCGCTATACGAAAATATAAATAAATAAAATTCCGTAATAAAGCATTGCGAAAGAAAACTTGCGAAACAAATCATTTCGTAAGAATACTTACGAAATAGTTCCTTACGGAAAAAGCATTCCGGAATGTGTAGTTACGAAAAAGACGCAAAAGATTTTATGTTACGATATATTTAAGATATTAAGTGTTAACAGTTTAAGTAATAAATAAAAAAAATTAAAAAAAAATGTTGTCAAATGATTCTTTAAATGTTTATACAAATATACCTAATATATATATATATATATATATATATATATATATATATATATATATATATATATATATATATATATATATATATATATATATATATATATATTAGGTATATTTGTATAAACATTTGAAGAATCATTTGACAATATATATATATATATATATATATATATATATATATATATATATATATATATATATATATATATATATATATATATATATATATATTTATATTTATATATATATTCATATATATATATATATATATATATATATATATATATATATATATATATATATATATATATATATATATATATATATATATATATATATATATATATATATATATATATATATATATATACATTAACGGGATTTTACTGTATATATATATATATATATATATATATATATATATATATATATATATATATATATATATATATATATATATATATAAATATATACTTATATATACAGTAAAATCCCGTTAAGTTGGACTTTCAATGAATAGATAAACAGTATGCCTTTCTTTTTAAAAAGTATAAAGAGGATGTGTGATAAACAATTAAATACTTTATTATAAAGAACGAGAGATCTCTCTAAAGGTAAATGATATCAGAAAGAGTAAAAAGAGAAGAAATATATGTGAAACAGCGGGATGTGAACCTGGGTCTACGCGGCTAAATGTCTTAACTGAATGAGCTATACGTTCATTCAACTAAGAGAATAGTAATATTTATTTAATATATAATTTGAAACTATATAAAACAGAATTTACAGAAAGAGATACGTATGCAAATAGGATTCTATATATCAGGAAAATGAATAGTAATGTGAACCTTTAGATGCTTATAATTAATATCTGGACTCAAAAACTAGTTACTTTTAATGGAACACAATAGGCTGTAGGAGCCTCAGGGAAATTATATTCAGAAATGGTTATACTTAAATGAATTATATTATTTGAAAAAGTTGTTTTACGTACATTTCATCATAATTTAAGTAGAACTTAGTAAAGCAAGGGAAACGTGTTGAATTAAGCACAATGAACTCAATCTTAAAAGAATAACTAACAGAAGAGAGGTTGTCACTACTGTGAAGGCGACGAAAGATCTGTAATATAGAACATGGAGGTCAAAAAATGCTATCTTAAGTAAAAAGAGTTTGATGAACAAAAGTTACAATGGCTGCGGGATGCGAACCCGGATCTCTGCGGCGAATTATCACGTATCTAACTGATTGAACTATACAATCTTAAACTCAAATTTATATCTTATTAAAATTAAAAAACAATATTTTCTATGATCTATACTTCGAAAAGCGTATTCAAACAGGACTCTACATACCTTTAAAATCTGCTAGAATTTTAGTAACGTGCACACTTTTAGAAATTATTGAAATAGGTATATTTTATCAGAAATATGCTTAAGCTAAAGCATATTTTTGAGCCTCTTTTTACTATTTGCTTAAGCATATTCGAACCTGTTTCAAAAATTTGCTTTAAAAAAAAAAACATGTATATTCCTACCCATCATTCTTATTTTTAATATACGTAATGAGTTCAAAAAACATCGTTGTATATATTTATTATGGCACGTTTCGTAAGTTTATTTCCGTTAAGAATTCTTTCGTATGTTGTGATCCGAAATACTTTCGTTTCGAAAGAAATTTTATTTTTTATCAATATTTCTAAAAATAAACCGTAAAAATTTAATAAGTTATTTTACTGAAAATAAAAATTCATTATAAACATTTTGGGATTTAAAGATGTTAATTTTTACAATTAAAATCAGTCTGGCAAACAAATTTTCTTTATAGACTTCAAAACGTCGTTTGGCGAAAATGTTTGTTTCGCAAGTGCGACTTCCGAAACCGCTACTTTCGTATGTTGCAAAATAGTTTTGTTTCGTATGTCAACTAGCGAAATGCTAAATTTCGGAAGTGGCTTTTGCGAAATGAACATCGGCGATTTTAAATGTTTTGTAACATTCGGTACGAAAAAATGTAATTCCGTGTTCTCAATATCCTTACGAAAGAATGTTGTTTTTCCGGAATTGCACGAAATCCTCCGGTTAACAACCCTAATTTGCATTGCTATTGACAAATTTTACTCTTTTTTTTTAATGCAAAAATAAAACCTGTTTTTTTTTAATTTAGAATTTAATACCAATGATGCCTTATAAAAAAGTATTTAGAAATTTATTAATTTACTTAGAAATAAGAAATTAATGCATTTAAAAGAAACGCTCTACTTTAGCTTATGGGGTTGTCCATTAATTATGTCAACAAAATAGGGGAGATGAGGGGTCTGAACTTTTTTGACAACTGTTGACAAGAGGGAGGGGGGAGGTCAATTCAAGTTGATGTCAACAATTTTTTTTTTTTTGAGTTTCATTGCTTAAATAACGGAAAATTCAGCTAAGTTTGTAGCGTAACTTCTTTGTATAGGGGGGGGGGGTTGTCAAAAATTGACGTAATTTTATAAGGGGGGTCTCAGGAAATTTGACAAATTGTTGACAGGGGGGAGGGGAGGTGAAAATAAAATTGTTGACGTAATTAATGGACAGCCCCTATGCAGTCACTAAATATATATTTCTATGTCTTCTATATTTCATGCTCAAATGACATTATTATTCTATTTCGCAGCCAGTTATTTACAGTGACGTCATCTGGCAATACCCTATATGTATCATCAAAGGCGGTTCTACAAATAAAATGAGGGGGAGCCTGTCGGTACTTTATAAGTACCCACTGGTTTCTTAAAAAATTAACCTCAAAACTAAAATTCACTCAACTGAAATGACTCAAATACCAAACTAGCCGACTATGTTCTTCATAAAACCGACTATAACTTAAAAATCACCTTCTTTTGAGCCAGGGGGGTCATCCCCACCCCCACATCCCCCGTCCCCACACACACATACCCACACACCGTAAAATTGCATTTGTGTAACATATTAAACGGGGTGCTTTTATATAGTCATACATTATATAGTTTTTTATTATTATTTGCACTTTTTTTTTCCCTCTCAATATTCAAAAACTCACCAAATCTGTGTTCACAATCTTGAAAGCAGTATAAGGAATAAAATATAAAATCATCAATGAAGCAATGAAAAATGGAAACCATTGATACTGAATATAATACAACTTTTCCATAGGGATGCAATCTGAACGCCTAGTAACTGTGCACAAACTGCCATCTTTTTTAAGACCGTCTCTTGTTATATCTTCAGGTATGCCGTAATATGTTGTCATACGATTTGTCATATTTTTATATATATAGAAACCGTTTATCCAACAGGCTTCGTTAATAAATTCGCTTGAGAACTCAATGTTTTCGGATTTTGTGCATGTCAATTTATCGACATACCAATTCACTCCAACGGCAATTGAAGATAGCAACAGTATTTTCGGCATAAATATTCTACTGTATTGATCAAATATTCCGTCGTGACGCGGTTTAATTTGTATTGACAAAATGTGCTTTATATCGTTAAAAAGGATATCCATTTTTAAATAACTTCAGTTTAGAAATTTAAGTTTGCAAAAAAAATGTAACAAAGGTATTCAGTCTGTACAATGATTTCAAATGAAATTTTCCTCGTTTAAAAAAGTTGTAGCTTAATCTATCTGAACATCGATGAAAATTATTTTGGTTGCCAATATGCTAACGCAGACAAAAATTAAGTTTGACAAAAAAAAAAGGATTCTTGTTTTAAAACCTGAACATCTTGTGAACGTATAAACAAAAGATGACGAATTGCTGCCATAGAAACGAATTTTTTATTTACTAGTTTCCTTTTTTTTAATGAATTTGTAATTCATTAATAAAAAGTATTTTACAGAAAAATCAACTATCGCAAATAAACAGAGATCAAAATCTCACTATATCTCACCATAAGTTTAAATTTGAAAGTATTTATTTTAACTTAGATGAAAAGATTCCGATGTTCAAAAACAGTATAACCTGGCTTTTAAAACCGTTAAAAAAAACTTTGAATATAATTTACTACATTTCCCTATTTTTGTAGATATTTTATATTATAAAACTTTATAATATATTGTGAGGTATAAAGTGAAATACAAAAAAAGAATGATATGTAATGCTTGAATCAGAAATACAGAAAAAGAAAATGTTTATAAATAGAGATAAAAAAAAATGGTTTTTAAATTCTTTTTTTGTTTGTTTGCTGATAAATTTTTTAAACATAAAATAAGTTTTCTCTTGAAATATTTTTTTACTTTTTTAGCTTCTATTCTTTTTTTTGTTTTTTTTTGTTCATATTAAAATTTTTTTTTAACTAATTTTTACTTTAGTTTGTTTAAACGTTGTGGCTACCGCGACGGTACCGTTGCTTTAATTTTTTATGTTAAAGTCACGGTAGTAAAGTTTGATTGGTTTATTTTAAGTGCTGTGAATATTATTAGTTGATTTTGTACCAATTTAAAAAAAATTGTAACTTTACATTGTACCTTTAGTATTGCGGTATCTCATTAGTTCATTTTCCACAGTGATCTGGGATCAATTCCTTCACTAAGAAAAATGTTTTTGAATGTTTTTTAACAATTTTTTTAAATTGAAAGTTATTATTGCTATATATTGAAAGTTGCATTGATTTTTTCATTTACATACATCGAATGATATAGGGATAGGCGCAGTAAGTGTACATATATCCACTGATTTAGGCATAGGCGCAGTGCGTGTACATACATTGACTGATTTAGGGATAGGCGCAGTGGAGCGCACTTACATCGATTAAGGGTTTTAATTTGGGCATGTGTTCTTTAAATAAAATAAAAAAAAAAACCAACCAATCAAAAAGTCACTACCGTGACTTTAAGAAAAAAATTAAAGCGACAGTACCGTTGCGCGAGCAACAGCGCTATTTAAAATCCAATATTAAATAAATTTTGTTTTTTGTAAAAACACCATTTTGTAAACTTTTGTAAATAGATATTTTTTTAAGCTACGGTTCTGCAAATTTTAAAGAGCTGATATTCTATATAACTTTATTTAAATTGTTATAAAATCCAAACTAACCTTAAATATCAGTTAAATTTAATAGAATGCTGCGTCTATGAATTTTAGGTTATACTGACGGCAAATTTTTGGTAGGTTTTTGGAGGCAAAAATGTATACATATGGTAGCGTATCTAGGCAAATCCTTCAATTCTGTCCTAGAAAATTGCTTTTAATTAGCAGGTTTCAAATAATATTTTGTTTGTCTGAATATAAAGTTTTATTTTTTTTAGTTCACATTTTTTTTGAAAAAATGTGAACTAAAAAAAAAGACTGTTTTTGATTTGACATTTTTGGCTTTTACAGATTTATTGTGTTTTTTTTTTTTACTCATTTAAACTTTTTGAAATTTCTTTTAACTTTTCTAAAATGATTTTACTTAGTTCTGCTCAACCTTTTTAGATTCTATACTAGATAATATTAATCTAAAGTATTTAACAAAGAATTACGCAAGTCAGATAATAAAATACAGATTTTTTGATTTAGAAAAAGGGTTTACTAGCTGTATGGTTTTTTTCAAAAATTTTTTATTCGAATTTAGCTTAACTTTAAATTCAAAATTTAATAACAAACAAGAATTTTATTTTTTTTACCTTGACCACTGATTTTGACCTTATTACTATCAATCCTCATTATTAAGTTTTAACTCAATAATTAAATAAAATTATTTCTTTGATTGGAAATCTGTTTAATTAATGCTTACAACACGCTAAAATTGTTACATTTTAAAATAATTTCATAAGTTATAGTTAAGAATAAAATACAGATTATAATAATTCTGTTAATCAAATTTACTGTTGATATAATTTATGATAATTAATGATTATTTTATAAAAAGATTCTTACTATCATTAACATTCATTTGTTTCAAAGTTTTCAAAAAAGTATAGAATTTAAAAATATATAATATACTTAATAAATATAAATATAAAATACTTTTAAGAAATGTTATTTATAACATGATTAACCAATACTATTTTAGCTCTCTGACATAAAATGCTAATATATATATATATATATATATATATATATATATATATATATATATATATATATATATATATATATATATATATATATATATATATATATATATATATATATATATATATATATATATATATATATATATGTATATATATATATATATATATATATATATATATATATATATATATATATATATAGGTTATCATTTCTGGTAAGCGCTTAAAGTGTTTGACCAGTAGCTAGTCAACATTTTGTCAACACTTAAAATGACATGCTAGCTCTGCCTTTGTTTAAAAAGTTTATATTTTTGTATATTAATAAGCTACTTGTGCAACAACCCACTATATAGTAAATAAATGCAATAGTATAATAAACTGTAGTAAATAAGTAAAATACAGAGTTTTTGTTAAGTAAACTTTAATATATTTTAATATAAACATGATATAAGTATATAATTCAATCTTTTAACTTTAATAATTTAGAGTCTGTTAGGCTGGTAATATTTAAAATTTTTTGTTAACTAAATAAATAGTTCAATAGGAAAAAACTTTAACGAAGTTCTTTAATTTGAAAGTTATTTCGAAATGTTGTTTTATTTTTGATACCGAGTGTTGGTTCATTGATATCAAATGTTTGTTTATGAAGAATATTTTCAACCTTGATCCGAATTTCAATTACTTTTTTGTTTAATTTTTCTATTACTAACGAGTTATTTCCTTCTTCTTCAGTTATCTTCAACCTTTCTAGACGCAATTTATCTAACAACAATTCATACAAAACAATGTTTTGCGAGTTAATATAAATTAAATATTCTTTTTCTCTAAGGAATATCACATTAAACACTTCTTCTTTATTTTTCCAGTTTCTTGGGAATATATAAATCATTAAAAAATATTTCCCAGTCTGGTTTATAAGTCCGATGGTTGAAAATATAATTCCAAACACAATTAAAAACCATAACAATATCAAAACGTAATGATAAAGAACATGCGTAGAGTACTCGCAAATTATACTGTATTTGTTTGTACCGGATTCTATCATATCCGAAAATAAAATTTGAACATCGCAAAGTCCATAGTTTGGAAGTAATACTTCACCTGCTCGAAATGACTGTCTGTGAATTGAATAGTCAAACATAGCTGAATTATTTTTGTAGGTCCAATAAAGCCAATTGCTTGCGTAGTTGAGATATTTTTTGTTAAGAGAATGATCAATTGCATAAAATGTACCAACATTTGAAAAAATATACGCGACCTTAACTGCTATGCTACCAAAAACTTTGATAAACATTTGCGTGGGTGTATTTTGTTTCAAGTTAAAGTAACTTTCAAAGATCTCGTCACAAGAATGAACTCTGACCGCGTTCTTTAGAGTAATCTGAAAAAAAATATTAAAGATAGTTTTGGAAAAAAAAAGTTGAAGGTAAGGTTGATTAGTAGAAATACAAATGTTAATAACAATTCAATTTTGCCAGGTAATAAAACACCTGCAAGCTTACATGTGGAATCGCAGCCTGGATAGAATTCTATCCAGCCTGGATAGAATTTAAAAAACAAAAATAAACTAGAATAGCATTTGCAATACTATAAAACGATATATATATTTAAATATTTAATTCAAGTGCTAACTTGTACTAATATTTTAGTAAAAGTTTAATTGCACTAAAATATTAACGTTTATTTGAAACACTCGAAGCTTACTTACTAGATCTGCATTTATAAACTTAAATCCAAGATGAGGTATAATGTAGAGAATAACAAACGAAGCCAAGAAAAAGGGGAACCACTGATACTGGAGGTAGTAAAACTTTACCATTGGAGTACAACCTTCATCATAACTTGTTTCGCATAAAATTCCGGTTATGGATATACCATCTTCATTAATATTTTTAGGAATCCCGTAATATGACGTCATTGTAGTCGTCAAATTCTCGTAAATATAAAAACCATTTATCCAGCACACATCAGTTATAAATTGATGCGACCCTGAAAGTGTTTTCGGGATAATACAGGTAAGCTTATCAAAATACCAGTTCACACCAATCATCAACGAAAAAAAGCACATTATTTTGGGCATGAATACGCGACTATAATGATCACAAACTCCGTCATGCCGAGCTTTTGTTTTTATCAATAAAACGCGTCGCATATCATCAATTATGAAACTCATTTTTATGAATTTAACCTAAAAATAAAACAAAATATAGAAAATATATAAAGTATTAAAATCATGAAAATAGTAAATGAAATTTTAAAAATATTATGTAGTTAAATTACGCCAAAATGTAAAACAAGTTTGACAAAAAAAAAAATTCTTAAAAATGAAGTGTTAGTTAAACATTTAAACTCTTTTAAATGGTGTTATCTGTTTTCATCAACACCTTGCAAGTTTATTGATTAGGAAACAAAGAAATTTTTTTCTTCTAAATCCCTTTTTTTAATTACTTCCAACTTTTATATTTTTTAAATAACAAGCTCCTTTAGAGTTGATTACATAGAAGGGTTATATGGAGGGGTTTACAAAATTTTTAAAATTTATTCGTATTTTAGTTATTTTTTAAAATGGGTAATATAACATTATCAATAATATAAAAGGTAATGGCCAAAGTTATTTTATAAGCACAAAAACGTAAATATCCAAAAAAATAAAACAAATTTTTTTTAATTTTTTAAAATCATTTAATAAGTTTCTTTTTTTGTACTTCTATGATATTAGTTACATTTTTAGTTGCTTTTTTATTGCATTATTTTATTATATGTTTGCACCTAATTGTTTTTTATATATTAATTGTTTTGTAATAGTTTTATTATCATATATTTTGATATATTTGATATAACTGAGGACAGTCAAAACAATTTTAACTAATTTTTAAAAGTTGTCTTGTTGATTAACACACACACAGGCACACACAGATATATATATATATATATATATATATATATATATATATATATATATATATATATATATATATATATATATATATATTGTTCTTATTTCAAATTTTGTTTGTATTAACTCATTTATTATATCATAGTGTTATTTGTAGATATCAAAATAGGTGGCGCCAATTTCAAATTTAAAGAAATAAGTACCAATCAAAACTGGATAACGCAAAACTTGTTTCTTGCAAATCGAGCATACAACTACAATGCAGCAAGAACAAGGCTTATAAGTCGCTTGGAACTTTGGTATTTCCAAAATCAACACTTAAACGTTATTTAACGTAGACCAAGCCTTTAAATCTGAAACAATCGAAAGGTTATTGCCCTATAAAAAAGTCACCCAGAAGAAAACTGACAATAATTATGTCCATGAATCAGACAAAGGAGGATGGAGCGTGTCTTTAAATTAGATTTAATGTTTTAAAACAATTCAAAATATTTTTGTCGAATCAAAAATAAATAAATGATATAAATACTTTTTAAATTACTCTTTTGAGTAGAATATTTTTTTAACTTACTTTTCTGAACCACAATTATAGCCTAAGTATAAGTTTTAATGGTAACTAAGTTCATTTAAAATGACTATTTTCTAAATGAATTTTAATTAAGGTAGAGGCAATTCTACGAATAAAAAAAAGAGGCAGGGTGGAGTATGAATCCTTAAAAAATACCGAGTGGTTCTTGAAATAACAAAAAAAACTAAAATGTGTCAAATTCCCCACATGTCGACTATATTCCTTAAAAAAACCGACTATAACTTGAAAATCACCTACTTTGATGGGGGAGGAGGGGGGAATATAGTAAGTAAATAGGGTGGTTGTTAAATTTTTCTTATTACTTCTTTCAAAAACGGTATCTGTTTTTCAGGTGCTAGATATACCGTTTTGTTAGGAAAAACTTATTATGAATACTTTCGTATCATCATTCAGAGTATTAGATTAACGTGTTGGGTGCATATCTCCTAGAAAATCTATGTTAAATTGAATTGCAAATTGTTTAAAAGCAGTTACTCTTTAACGAAAAGAAATTGGGAGAATAAGAACAATTTTTTAAAATAGAAATGTATAATTTTTTTAATACAAAAATCAGTGTCGTGCAACTTATCTTTTATCTTGAAGATAATAGTATCTATCTTCAAGATAAAAGATAAGTTTTTAAAATCTTGAAGATAATAGTAACTATCTTCAAGATAAAAGATAAGTTTTTAAAATCTTGAAGATAAGTATCTTAAGATTTAAAGATTTAAGAGAGTTTTTTTTCTTTGTTTTTGACCGATCAACCAAGTATTTCCTTTGTTTATCATGTTAGACTGTTAGAGTGTTAATTTTGCTAGGAATACTGTACTTGGATGTCACTGCAGTTGTTGAGAGTTGATAACAAAATACATAACATTATGATTGGTAAGAGTGCGTGTGGAACGCATTAGAACTCGTGCGTTAGTTAGAAAGATATTGTAGTGACTTATGTTTGTTTAAATAATACTAGTTGTAAATATGTATGTTATTATAATAAATCTTAAATACAAATAAAATAAGAGTTAGTAGATATATATTTAAAATAGTGAACACAACAGTTGGCGACGAAGATCAAATTATGGCAAAAATAATTAATAATTTACCTGGAGTAGAACAGTTTATTATAAATCAAAACGACACAACTAATTTAGACAAACGTGGGAAACATGGAAAGAAGATTTTGAGTTATATCTAGTTGCAACTGGAGTCACGCAAGACGCGCAAAAAAAGGCGTTACTTCTGCATCTAGCAGGGAACGATGTAAAAGAAATCTATAAAATCCTGAAAGGAACTGACACCGATCAATACAAGACAATGTGTGATAAACTGGATCAATATTTCAGTCCGAGAAAGAATATAACATACGAACGTTACGTCTTTACGAGGATCAAACAAAATGAAGGGGAAAGTACAGTGAGTTTTATTACGCGATTAAAAAAACAAGCGGAGTATTGTGCCTTTCCAAATGTTACAGAGACAGTAAAAGATCAGTTCATATCATCGTGTTATTCTTTAAAATTAAAACAAAAACTCCTTAAAGATAGAGAAATAAATCTCGAGAAATGTATTGAGATTGGTCGAAACATGGTCAGAACAACAGGCAAAAGAAATGTCTTATAAAAAAGCAAATGTATGCCCAGAGGAAATCGATGTAGTAGATCATTTAAAAAAATGATTGCAAAGCCATGGGAAAAATCATTTAGCTATATGTTGCCGAAATACTCTACAACCGTTGTATAGGAGAAACCGACAAGTTAATGAAATAAATAACAAAGCTAAAAGTGAACACAGCTCAGAAAATGAATCAGAAGAAACGCTTGCCCTGACATTTAGTTCAACACGGAAAAGACAATCTAATAAAACAACAATAAATGTAATAGTGGAAAATGTCACGATTAAAATGATAAACAATATATATATCGTAGATAAAAATAATGTTGGAAATATAATGGGAATTAAAACTGCTAAGGAGTTAAACATTTTAAAAATTGCAGAAAGTGTTAAGTTTGTGAATTATAAAGAACACTATATGAATTCAGTGGATAATAAGTCAGTTGAAGCTGTACAGCTTCAACTGACTTATTATCCACTGAATTCATATAGTGTTCTTTATTATTCACAAACTTAACACTTTCTGCAATTTACTGCTGTACGTACAGCACTCTAACGTGTGTAAAAACATTGATGATAAAATCAAACTTCCAACGAATCAAAATGATAATAGTTTTGAGCATATTGATTCAAATTGTAAAGTCACTTTAAAATTTAAAAATAATTTGACAAAGTTAATTGCAAAATACGAAGACATATGTCTTGATGCAAGAACCATAAACAAAGCAATTAAACGTGAAAGATACCTAATACCTACATTAGATTCAGTAATAGATGAAATGCATGGTTCAAAAATATTTGCCAAACTAGACATGAAGGAAGCCTATACTCAGCTAGAGTTCGATATCGAATCAAGAAAAATTACAAATTTTCTAACGGATGAGGGAGTCTACCGACACAAAAGATTAGTGAATGAGATCAACAATTCGTTCGAAATTTTTTAAAAAACTATGGAGCAAAGCTATGATAGAATAGAGGGAGTAAAATTTATCAGTGACGATTTTATAATATACGCATCAGACGAACAAGACTTATTAAGAAAATTAAAACTTTTGTTCATCAAAACAAGGACATTAGGTCGGAAGTTAAATAAAAAAAAGTTTTTATTTAACTTCAGACCTAAATTTTTGCTCAAGAGAAAATAAAATTTTTTCGTATTGAAATATCTAAAAATGGTATTAATCCTGATCCAAACAAAGTAGAAGCTATCAAGAATGCAAGATCACCAACAACGGTCAGTGAGCTTCGAAGTTTCCTTGGTTTATGCACATATGTATCAAGGTTTATTAAAGGCTTTAGTGTACTACGGGAACTATTAAAGAAAAATTCAAAATTTAAGTAGGAAAAAAAACATTACGATGCTTTCAACATGCTTAAACGTGAGTTATCAAGTGAATCCGTTCTGGCTTTCTATGATCCGCACAAAGAAGTACAGTTAATCACTGATGCTAGTAATCATGCCATAGGCGGAATACTCTTACAAAAAGAAGGAACATGGAGTAAACCAATCTGCTACATAAGTAGATCATTAACCGCAGCCGAGTTAAAATATAGTATTACAGAAAAGGAAGCTCTTGCCTTGGTATGGGCTATTGAAAAGTTACATTTGTATTTATATGGAAAAAATTTTAAGGTCATAGTGGACCACAAACCCCTTAAGTTCATTTTTTCTTCTGGTTCTAAATTAAATGCACGTATTGCAAGATGGCAAATCAAATTACAGGCATACGATTTCGATGTAATATATCAAAAAGGAGAAGAAAAAATTGCAGATTTTATCTCTAGAAACTGTACTCCAAATGAAATACATAGTGAGTTAGATGAAAATGAAATTACAGCATATGTAAATTTCTTAGTGACAAAAATGGCACCCAAATCAATATCACTCAAAGATATAAAAACAGAGACAGCAACAGACATCAGTTTAATTACAGTAAAAACAGCGTTGTTGTCGGGTAAATGGCATGACAATCCAATACTTGAACCGTACCGTAAATTTCAAAATGAGTTAACTGATCACGACGGAATCATATTTCGAGGAGAAAAAATTGTTTTACCAAAGACGCTTCAAAAAAGAGCTTTACAAATTGTACATGAAGGACATTTAAG